CCTACCGCGCCGTAGCGAGGGGCCCGATCCTACCCCGCCGTAGCTAGGGGCCCGATCCTACCGCGCCGTAGCGAGGGGCCCGATCCTACCCCGCCGTAGCTAGGGGCCCGATCCTACCGCGCCGTAGCGAGGGGCCCGCTAACAGCATCGGGGGCTCAGATTGCATGGGAAGAACGACGTGTTCAGGGAAGGCCTCGAATCAGGCAGAACAGAGCTGCATAGAGGAATGCTTCCCGACCAAGTGTTCAGGCACCCACAGACTGTCCACATTTTTGCTCCCTACTGGGAGCCTGGAGAGAGAGAAAAAGTGGACTGTCTTTGGGCCCCTTGAGGACCGGATAGGGAAGCACTGGTATAGGGTGTCGTCAGGGGGAACCTGCATCTCTCACATCAGCATGTCAGCACGAACACCTCAGACCGAAAAACAGAGGGATTTTATCCCCGGTTACTGCTGGTCTCACATGTCTCGTCAACACGTCTAATCAGGTGCCACAGTGCAGGGCTGTGTGCATGTCTGCCCAAACCTTCACTAGAAAGGCTCATTCTGACCATCGTGGTTAGAAATGTCCTTTGGAATTTCTCATTCTCAACATACAGGGTTGCATACGGTCAGAAATGTCTTTTGGAATGACCCATTCTGAAAATATAGGGGTGTAATAAATATCCATGTTGAGCTTTCATTTATGTCACAGTTTGCATTTGAAACAAGAATAACTTTACAGGTAACATGTCATGGTTTTGTGTGATTTTGAGCAACTTTGACTGTGAGCACTAATTAATTCTGCCTGATAATTAATGAGAACATGTTTGCCTGCCTCCCTCTCCTGTAAGGAGCCAGGCCCTCACACGAAACCCCCTGCCGCTTCACACTGTGCTTGTTCTCCTCTCCCTCACAGAAATCATCGTCCAGATCATCCAAGGAGACTTCCAGTCCCAGTACAGCAAGGTAACGGCGTCGCTGTCCACTGTGATCCACAATCGGCCAACGGGCCAGATCCTGCCCCTTAAATGTGTCGCTTTTCAGCCAAAATGATTCCTATGTCTGTTCAAGGACAATTACGATGTTGCCTTTTGAAGACTGAAGTGTCCCGTAAAATGAGCACTGCGATAGGATAGATGCAGGGGAGGGTTAATATGTAGGCTGTTCTGGGCTGTAACCCCGGGCCCCCGGGACGAACGCAACAGCTGCATCGGCCACACCTGAGTGTCAGTGCTGATGTCAGTCTGGGGCCTCTGGTAAGTTAATCCGCCTCTGGATACATAGCACAGTATTTATATGAAAGAGAGGACAGAGGGCAGGACACCTGGCTGCAGTGATTCATGCTGATTTGGCCGTCTGGCAGAAAGGCCCTTCCTGCATACCGGCTCTATCTTGGCTGAAATCCGTGCTTGTGGCCATTTTGTCTGATGCCTGAGCTGTGATCTCTCTCTGTCTCTATCTGTTTCTGTCTCTCTCTCAGTCTCTCTTTCTGTCTTTCTCTTTGTCTGTCTGCGTCTGTCTGTCTTTCTCTGTCTCTCATTCCCTCTCTCTCTTTCTGTCTCTCTCTGTCTCTCTGTCTCTCTCTCATTCCGTTTGTCTGATTTTGTGTTAATCACCCATCTTGCGATTTGCAGTAGTTTGTGATTGCGAAGTTACAGTAGTTACATTCTCTCTGTCTCTCTGTCCTGTTGTCTTTCTGTCTGTCTTGTTTTTACTGGTGTTTCCGTTTTTGTAACAATAAAGGGTTTTTAAAAGTCAAGTCCCTCATTGTCTCTGTCTCTCTGGCTCTCTCTCTCTCTCTCTCTCACTCTCTCTCTCTCTCACTCTCTCCCACCTGATAACAATGCTCTCTCCCCTCGCATGCCGCTGCATGTGCCTCCTTCCGCCCTCCTCAGCCAGAGAACGTTGTTCTGATGCTCCAGGTAACTCTGAATGCTCACTGCTCCCCCTCCAAACTGACTTGCTTGTCCCCCTCTCAGCACCAATCAGCCCTGCAGATAGTGTTTGTTTTAAGCANACTGCTCCCCCTCCAAACTGACTTGCTTGTCCCCCCCCCACCCCCAATCAGCCCTGCAGATAGTGTTTGTTTTAAGCATGCTTAGAACTTGATTATCAATTTGTAATTTTCCACTAATTAATAATTAAATAAAATGTTACACTATTAATTTTATCCCTGCTAATACACTTGTAATACACTTGTGTTTCCAATCCAAAATGTGCGCAGGAGACTATAGATGCATCACATTTTAAATTTTGTTTACATGTTTATTTCCTTAAACTAGGAAAAGTGACATAAATTCAAACTGAAGAAATTAGGTTAAATAAATTAGGAATTAAATTGCTTTGAGGAAACTGCTCAGAAATAGCTCAGGCATGAGGCTGAAACTGTCATACTTTTAACTTTATGACACTGGTGCTTTGGCGTAGACCCTCATGCCCGTGTAGCTGACCCCGCCTACTCCCCTCCTTTCTCCGAAAAAAGCTTTTCTGTCTTGCCATTTTAGGGTTGTTTTGCAAAATAAAGTCTGATGCTACAGTTAGTGTTTCAGGTCTAGAAACATCAGATCCGTTAAAGTGGAATATTATTATACATTTAAATAATTGCGAGTAAAATTCAGCTGTTTAAATTAAGGGGTGTGTTATAGACCTTGCATCAGTAGTTACTGTAAACATCATATTACATCGTAATATCTGTACTGTATCACCAGTTACTGTCTATATCATATGAGATCCCAGAATAGCTGATGTCTGTGTTGTATTAGATCCAACAGTAGCTGATATGCATACCATAACAGCAGTCACCGTCCGGGATGCTACGCTAGCTGATATGCGTACCGTAACAGCAGTCACCGTCCGGGATGCTACTGTGGCTGATATGCGTACCGTAACAGCAGTCACCGTCCGGGATGCTACGCTATCTGATATGCGTACCGTAACAGCAGTCACCTTCCGGGATGCTACGCTAGCTGATATGCGTACCGTAACAGCAGTCACCGTCCGGGATGCTATGGTGGCTGATATGCGTACCGTAACAGCAGTCACCGTCCGGGATGCTACGCTAGCTGATATGCGTATCGTAACAGCAGTTAACGTCCGGGATGCTACGCTAGCTGATATGCGTACCGTAACAGCAGTCACTGTCTGGGATGCTACGCACCTGTTCCTGTGTCCGCAGGCCGCCCACTACGAGATGGGCTTCCTGGTGTGTGCAGCACTGGGTTTGCTCTTCATGGTGCTCATGCCGCTGGTGGGCTTCTGCTTCTGCGTGTGCCGCTGCTGCGAGAACTGTGGCGGTGAGATGCACCAGCGGCAGCGGAAGAATGCCGATTGCAGGAGAAGCGCATTGGCCGGCGCGCTCTTCGTCACCTCACTCCTCATTACGTGAGTCCTGACGCTTCAAACCCAAGAGCCTCTCATATCCGTCTCAGTTGTCAATCCTTAACTGGAAGGGGTCTGTATAGTTCAGGGGATTAGGGGTCTGTGCCCATATCCATTAGGTTGTGAGTTCAAATCCCATAGCTGACATGGTAACAATGTCTCCCCGTGACCCTTTATCAAGACCCAAATTGCTTCAGGGACACTGGGTTACCCTGCTGTCGGTCCTTCACTTGTACATCACTTTGTACAAAAGCACCTGCTAATTATGCTAAGTAAAATATAAATGTCTTAGCCACTGATATCAGGTACAGGTGTGCCACCCTCTGACTGATTTAGATGACTGCCTTATATGTCATCCAGAAATGTCATATCTCAAGTTTCATCTTTAGTTTTCATGCACATGCAATACATGAGGTCATATTTGTACATACACATTGCGATGAAATGTTTACTCAAAGTTTCACCATCGGGACAATGCAAATTCAATATAAGGAAGAATATCATAACATCACACTTTATGTATTTATATACACAATCCCTGGAACCCCTCATAGTCCTTTGCCATGAAAAGGATGCTCACCTCAGACTACCCCCTCACCCCCCTCAGATGTTTCAAAAACTAAATAAATGGCTAGAGAGTAAAGTCAGAATATCATAGCTAGCTAGCTTGTTAGCAGAACTGAATAGTGTAGTGACTGATTGTGGCCAACAGGGGGCCCAGTGCAGATCATGGTTTGAGTGGTGGTAAATGCCCTAGGATGGGACATGTGGCACCTCTGCGTTGGAAAGGACGGGATGCTGTTTCCATGATGCTCTGACATGATGTTTACTGTAGTCGTCCACAAACACAACTGCTTTACATCAAGAAAACGCAAGGGGGCCATTTCTCCTGGAAATGCATCTGGAAAATTCGAGCAGTTGCTTCATCTGCACCACAGAATCTGTATTTTTATCAGCCTGGCCTAGTTCTCAGTGTCCTTACGTCTCCAGTGCCAAAGCCTTCTGGGAGACATGGTAGATGTTTACTAGGAGACCATGCAGGGCGTGGGCAGAACATGCAGTGCAGGGTCCACATTTAGTTCATTCAGGCGCAGTGTTTTGAGGATCTTTCTGTCCAGAACTGGCTGGTAACCCACCTCACAGCCGTGCTTTTATGGGTTTAAGGTAACCGCCTGAAAATCTGCGTTTTAAAAATGATAATGTCTGTCTTGCTGCCACGTTTCCCTGCATCCGGGGGCGTATGAAAAGGGGTGGGCGGGGGGTGTTACACAGCAGTAGCAAGACATCCTGGGCCCCCGGAGGAAATGTCACCTTGGGCCCCCTGATTGGTTGGCACTGTCAATCATGCAGTTGGTTTTGCTGAACGGGGGGCGATTTTGGGGCCCGTATTTCCATGTCCCTCTGAAGCCCCTGGGGTGGCAAGTACCCCCAGTATTTAATGCTTCTTCATTTATCCCCCCTAAAATAGACCTTTACATTCGAATTATGAAGTTGTGCTCCCCCCCCCCATATCACACTTACTCCTATGCACTTATCTGCCTCAGTAGATTATTATGAATTCTGTAGCGGTTCTCTTCCGATACTCCAGGCGTGAGAAGCAGTCGACGTGCCGGCCCTTAGTTTCTTTTCAATCCTTTAATGACATAAAACGATCAATCTTCCGTCCGTTTCAGGTCGCGGTTTACATCGTAGAGACAGATACATACTTCACTTTTCCGACAAAGGAGGAGCGAGGAAAACACAAAATTAACACGTAAGAAAAAAAATTACTTAAACTACTTTGCAGGATTTAGTATATGGATATAAACGAAAATCACACAATACTACATTAATCACACACTAAAAAGATCGGACTTGTAAGCGACAGCAACATATAGTGATTACTCGGTTTTCCTCACAGGAACGGAAGGAAATACACATTTGTGAGTGGCCAGGATCACATACATAAATCTTGTTTTATAACTTAACTACTGACAACAAAGCGTGCATATCTCTGTCTCGGTCCAGACAGACTGGAGAAAGGCAGCACACCCAAAGCATTTGGGGAAAATTAATTACAGATAAACAGAAAGAATTACACCTCAGTTAAGCCCACCCCGATAAAACCTATTTTAAATATGCTGAAACTAAAAATGTTCACTTAAAAAACGGCATGAAATGAAATGATAAAGAAAGCATTCCCCATTTTCCAAAGTGGTTCCTCCCTAACTTTACCGGGAAAATTACACAAAAGAAACCCGCTGAACTGAAGGGTCAGAGTTGATGGGATTCTCTGACGGGAAACCACGCCACAAAATGTACCTGAATATTATCCAAATATAAAGTTTAGATATCACTTTTTTGCAGACTGAGGGCAGTACAAGTTGTTTATATTTACCAAAACAGATTTAAGCTTAATAACGAAGTCATTCATCAGGACCCCATGTCTCCATCTGCGTTTAACAGGAACACTTGGCAATACATGTTGTCCAATGGGTTTAAGTTAAGGTATGCAACAGAAACCCAATTTACACTTTAGATACATGGTGAATCTGTACCAAAGTGGGAGTGAACATGTTTACTTTTCATTCCTTCTGTACCTTTTAGTAGCAATTAATAGTGAGAAAGAGTCCTGTCTTAAACTCTTTTCAGGAATCAGTGAAGTGCTAAAAGTAACATATATATATATATATATATATATATATATATATATATATATATATATA